ATTATGGACATGATGATGGACCAATTGTAGATTTCAGGGCTTCAATCGATGCGTAAGTGGTTGCAGATTACTTTTCTGAAAAAATCCATTTTTACTAAAAATGAACTTATAGATGATGGGCATAGTATGGGGGACCGATATTTAGGTTACTTCACTGTAATATCAAAATGAAAAGTCTCACACATTTTTCAACACATCGTCTGGTCTAATATCATATGTATTTGTGATATTTTTAATAAATTTAAATCATATACTTGTCTCCTTTCTTGCTAAGGGTAAGGAATTGATTGAAATAGTTAATAGTTCTTTAGTTCTGTCTGTTACTGCTCTCAAGCATTACTCAAATTTCTTAATAATAATATTAATTCGAATTTTCATAATAACCTTATTTGATAAAATATAACTAGACATACACGGAAAAGTCCATGGGCGATAATATGTATCTAAAAAGATACCATCCAAAGTTCTGTTTCTGACTTTGGGCTCCACAAATCTATCCATTTTTCAAAAATCGCTAATGTCTTTTTTGTGGAGAGGGGAGGAGGAGAGGCTAATTTAATTTGAGAATTTTAATATTTGAAAATTGAATTAAATTCCTTGAAATCTTGTTTCAGTGATAATGGCTGGCTTTAATCTTCTTAGCCAAGGTAATCAGACCACGCAACAACCTCCTTCTTTCTCATCGTTCTCATCGCCTGGACTCAATACGTCGGCAACTTTCGGAGCTGGTTCAGCTCAACAAAATTTATCATTTGGTTCTTCCATAACCTCCGGTAAAATTGAAACGAGTCATTACTTTTTGTGCTACACCGTTTATTCGATTAGCTGGTAGTTATGTGAGTTTCTATCGACTATTTTCCAGGGACTTCCTTATTTGGATCACCTAATGTTACTGTATCTCAAGCCAACTTATCATTTAGCGGTGCAGTGACGGGCAGCCCAGCAACTGATGCTGCTAAGACAGGTTTTGGATTTTCTCCTGCCACTGGTGCCGGAGGGACGTTATCATTTGGTACTGTCGGTTCAAACCAGCCTGCTTTTGGCGCAAGCAATGCTGCTCAGCCAACGTTTGGTGCTGCGCAGCCAACTTTTGGCGCCGCAGCTTCTGGTCAGCCCTCGTTCGGTGGAATAGCGACAGGACAATCAACATTTTCTGCATCAACGACTGGACCACAATCTTTTGGTGGAGCACCTGCTGCACCTTTATCTGTAGCCGCTGTTGCACCACCAACTTTTGGCGGAGCCGCTGCTGTTCAACCCACTTTTGGTGGAGCTGCTACTGTTCAACCAGCTTTCGGTGGAGCTGCTACTGTTCAACCTGCTTTCGGTGGAGCTGCTACTGTTCAACCAGCTTTCGGCGGAGCTGCTACTGTTCAACCAACTTTTAGTGCAGCTGCTACCGCACCATCTACTTTTGGCGGAGCGGCTGCTTCTCAATCAGCTTTTAGTACAGCTGCGCAGCCATCCTTTGGTGCAGCTGCTGCCACTGCTCAACCAACATTTGGTGGAATTCCCTCTACCCCACAGCCAGCTTTTGGCGCAGTTTCAGCTCCAGCACAACCAACGTTTGGTCCGGGCACCCCCGCCCAACAGCCTGCTTTTGGCGCTGCTGTCACCAGTCAACCTTTATCCTTTGCAGCGCCTTCCACGCAACAGTTGCCAATTAGTGCAGCCTCTTCGCAACCGTTATCGTTTAGTAGTTTGACTGCTGCTCCTACTCTGTCGTTTGCTGCACCAACTACATCTGCTCCACCATTATTCGGCTCGTCAAGTCCTGCTAAAACACCATTATTTGCATCGACCAGTGTTCCATCCACGATTTCTTTCAGCGCAACTACCCTGTCTGCGCCTAGTGCTACATCTGCTGCACCTACCCTGTCATTAGGCACTCCCAGTACCACTCAGTCATTGACCTTTGGCACCACAACCGCAGCGCAGCCATCATTATCATTTGGAAATGCAGTTAGTACTGCGCAACCGATATCGTTTGCTACTCCAGCCACCATCCAAGCCTCCACATCTGCTGCTCCAACCTTGTCGTTTGGCTCGACGAGTACTCAACCATTATTTGGCGCTGCAAGCACTACGCAGACTGCGCCCAAACCGGCTGATGCCACCACCGCATCCAGCCAGCCAGGAGGTTCAACTGCCACTTCAGCTACCGCAACGTCTTCGTTATTTTCTGCAGCTAGCACGACCAC